TAGTAATTGACCACCGCCTTTTACCAAATATATTTAGCTCAATTTTCTTTAGCTCACAATATGCTGTGTAAATATTGCTATGAAAAATTGAAATTATCTCTCCTGTAATTGTAACCATTTACTTCTAGACTATTTTAAAATTATAATAACAGAGTGTTGAAGCGACGATGAATTTGTGCGAGTTTGATGCTGAAAGAGTCCAAGATTTATCTTTTGTGAAAACTGAGCCATCTTAACCATGTAGGCCTATAGAGTTACATAATCTACGTAAGTAATGATCATGGAACGTACACGCTATCATCGTCAATTACGCGCATGCGTAAATGGCAGTGGAAACCTTCGATGGGGACTAGACTTACGTTTAACCCATAGAGATATTAAGTATATATCTCTATGGTTTAACCAGACTTGGGTAAAGTTTGCCTGGTATTGGTCTTGGGGTAGCGCGCACATGGCCTGGTCGCTCGCGATCAGCATGCCATGCGCAGTACTATTTCTATTTACTCGGTATAGCCGGCGCGGCCGTCCCGGCCCGGGAGCTCGAGCTATATGATGCACCAACGTAACTAGCAGCCTGTACTGTACGTACGTACGTACGTATATACGCATCATATCGGAGTCTTGCATGCTAGAGCCTGAGGGTCTAAAAATGGAGCTCGACAACTGCTGCGGAGATAGTTCAAGTGAAGATGGGTTCATAGACCCTCTCACCAAAATCGTTCAAAGGTGGGGATGTCCGTCAGTGTTAAAGATACTAGAAGGTACGTTCACATCTTATTGAGATTAGAAGTTTAGAACATGATCAACAGGTACTTGCTGTAGACTTGTTCCCATATCCATAACACATGAGCAACATGTAGACTAGTTCTATATGCCTCAGCAATGGTTAATGAATACGCTTCAATTCAATTGGTCTATTAAACTTTGCCTCAAATTTGCTCTTTTAATGCATGTGTTACTAATCCAAACTAATATTTGATTGATATAGGTCTAGATATCAAATTCAAATTGTACTGTTTCCATGAATTTTAGATCACAAATGAATATTTAAAAATATTTTGTTCAAGATTTTACAAAACCCAAAGGCCAAAACCTGCTACAATACATACATAACACAATACCCTCCATTTTCTATGGATCATGGGTTGTATGGGGTCCAATCACAGAACTCTTTAATACGTATTTAAGAGTTCTGTGGGTCCAATACATTGGACCATATAGGTGTGTACCCAGATAGTAATACAGTACGTGGGACTGGTGTAATTTTGAACAATTATCTCTGTTATCTGAAATTGGTATTACTATACTAGATCTAGTCTAGGTCTAGATCTAGATCTAGGCCTACTTATATTTAATAATCAACACTGAACTGAATGATTCATCAGAAAATTGAAGTTGTCAAATAATGTACAATTTTATGAACATTATTTTGTGGAAGATCATCTTTCATTTTCCTGTAGATCTAGAAGTCTAGATTTCAAAAAGTGAGACAATTTGTCTTGCCCATTGCCATGTTAAGGATTTTGCCCTTTCATTTTCTACAGGACTTTGAAATTCAAACACTCTAAAAAAATGTTGGGCAAGTGCCCAATTTTTACCCAACATGAGGGCACTTATGTGTCCGACTAACTATTGGGTAAATTAAAGATTTTGCATGATTTACCCAGTGTTGGATGAAAAGAAAATACCCAACTTTTAACCAACAAAATTTACCCCAATAGGAAATTCACCCAATTCTCACCATAATGTGTAGTATATTCGACACTAGTTGGGCAAATTATTTCATCAGTAACATGGTTGGTAGAAAATAACCCAATTATTGGACAAAAATGACCAACTTTAATTTGCCCAAAAATATTACCCAATTATTTCATCGGTAACTACATGGTTGGTAGAAAATAACCCAATTGTTGGACAAAATTTGCCCAACATCAGTTTTACCAAGTAACACCTACCCAACTTATTTCTGACCTTTTATTAGGTAACTTCATACAGTAAATGGTTGGGAGAAATTATTTGACAAAAACGCGCCAAACTTTGATTTGCCCAGTAACATCTGCCTAACTTTGTTTTACAGAGCATAGACTCTACATCCTCTTGGTTTTAAATGGGGCTATTAATTATGTGCTATTGCGATATTCCTTGTCATAACTAAAAGGCAGTTGACCCACATTTTAGCCCATATTAATAGCCTAATTCAAAACCAAGAGGCTGTGGTGGTTTTCGAAATTGCAGTGACCTCGCTGTAGTACACGAATGGGCACAATTTTTAACATGGGTACATTTTTTCTCATTTAAAAAAATCTTTTTCTGAAAATAATTTTTAAATATGGAAAAATTACAGATGCTTAAGCCACCAAATTATGCCCACAAAATTGTACACTATTTTACTACATGTCCAGATTTCAATGAAATCATTAGAACCGATGGACGGATTACCATCCAAACTTGGGACATGTACATGTATCTTGCAAGTTGCAAAGCCAACGAACTGATTCGATTTTGGGATGGAGGTGCACATGGAGGAAGGACATTCGTTAGTACAGGATTAACTGTCCTATTTTGCTTCATATCAGTGAAATGTTCCAGCACATGCATTTTTTTTAATGTTTCACACCACTGAACAATAAGCTGTACAAAAGAATTATTAAACACCACAAATTATCTTTTCTAGGATAAACAATTGTCAGTTGCCTCTATTCAAGGTAACACACTATAATTTATATATGGTTGTATGGTACTGTAAGTGGCCTGTGAAAGGCTTGAGTGCTAGACTTTTTGAGAAACCCTGGTCAGATAAAGCTAGGTTATTTGTCATACTAAAGCTGAGAAACATGGCTACTAATGCAGACAATATCATGGCAGCCGCAAAAGGTTGAACAAAACAATTACCGGTATGGCAGTTTAAAGTTGAAGTAATAGGCATGACAGTGCACATGGAGAAGACACATATGATTATCAATGAATTAGTAATGTTAATTAACCAATCAGCATATATTGACCGCTATGCTAACTCTCAAATCATTCTGATTCATTTGGTAAGTTGAATGACTTTCTTTGAAATCAAATTCATTGCTGATGCAACTAATCTTTATACTTTAAATAGGCCCCTACATTGTTAAAAATTAGGCACAATTTGACTAAACTAAGGTGATTACTAGTATGACTTTAGAAAAGGTTTCCATTCTTAATTTGATTGTGTGGATGTTAGTAACATCACCTGAAAATAAATAGCAATTAGTTGATACAATTCGCTAGTATGATCTAAAAGTAAGTTTTCTATACGAAGACCAAATTTTCGAGAAAATCGCATTTGAAAATTCAGATTTTCATAGACTCTTGTGGAATAACAAAAAACATTGATTATGCGATTTATTCAAAATGGAAGATATTTTAGCTGGAACATGAGCAAATGTTTACAGCTTATCATTATCTAAAACATATACTTTTGTTTAATTTGCGCAACCATACGTGTGTTTGTGGTATTATATGAAAACAATCAGTTTATGCTGCACTAAGCCTTATTTATCAATCTCTCCCTCTTCTTCTCCAGAAAATGAAGTTGATGTGGAAACCCTTCCCCTTCTAAGTGAAAGTATAATCACATCCTTCATACCCAAGATTGGACCTCGATTGAAGTTTCTCGCTGGGTGGCGTGCAGAGGTAGGCCCTAGATGTGGCACAATATCTCACTATGGATAGTTACAGATGCTTTCAGTGTCTTGATTTAATTAGGGGGGATATTTCTTGCCTATTCCATCATTTAAAATACACACATACAACAACCAGGGGGAAAAATGTAAGTATAACATGCATGCAAGGGGCATGTAGACTAACATTTCGTACATTATCGGGATATAGAAAACATCTCATTTCAAAGCACGCTGCACGGATAAAGACGTCAAGCACAACTACAAAAGCAGTTCCAGATCACCAAAGTGAAACCTGTTATGAAGGATCTGTTCTAGGAAAGAATAACAACACTGAAGGGAATTTGGAACAACTGCACCAGGAAAAGGCATTGTTTGTTGGAGAAAGCAGTGAGCAGGAAGATGTCTCTTTTGAAACGCAAACAGAGAGACTACCTGATATTGCAGCAAAGTTTGTAGCAGAACTCAGGGCAAGGACTAATGTGCCTGCTTCACACACCAACAAGGTCATTCAAACCGCACAAGATTTGGTTATTTCTGTGTTACAAACTGTGCAACAGGATGTGATGGATATCTTAAGTGAGCCACAATATGCAGCTAACAGTGAGCTGAGATCTGATATACAAGATGTATTCGAGAATTCAAAGAATCCATTTTCAGAGCTCATGTCAGATACTCAACAGAAAAAATATTTCTCTGAGAAAGGTGATTTCATTCAGCCTTGTGAGGTGTTGTTGGGAACTTGCTTAAAACCAAAAATTGATCAAAAGACAGGTGATCCACTGCAAAGCACACAAAAAGAAACCTTTCAATATATACCACTAGCTGACACTATTAAACAATACTTAGAGCGACCAGGAGTAATGAACGCCATACTGTCTCAAAAAGGATCAAAAGATAATGATGTTTTGTATTCATTCAAAGATGGTCACTATTATAAAAGGCAGGAAGCTACTGCTAGACAAGACTGTGAATTCTTAGTGCCTCTGTTGTTGTACAATGATGAGTTTGAGACAGCCAATCCGCTTGGGTCAAAACGCGGCAAACACAAGGTAAGTGCCTTTTATACAAGTGTGTTATCCCTTCCCAGGAAATACCAGGCTAGGCTAGAAAATATCATGCTCACAGCTATGATCACATCTCCGCTTTTGAGTAAATATGGCATCTCAGAAGTTTTGAAGGTAATCAAGGATGATCTGCAGCAGATGTGGACTGATGGACTCACTATCAAGTGCAAAGAGTTTGAGGGTAGGGTCAAACCCTACTTATTCCAAGTTGTAGGGGACAATCTTGGCATTCATGCCATGCTGGGATGTACAACCTGTTTCCGTGCCAACTATTACCGTAGATTCTGTAGAGGCCATCGCTCGTTGCTTCAGAAACAGCCAAAAGAGGATGCCCAATATCTCCGTGATGAAATAAACTATGATACAGATCTTCAAAAGCCCTTGTCAGAATCTGGCTTGAAGCATGCAACAGTTTTGAATGAATTGCCTTACTACCATTCCACCCAAAACTTATGTCCAGATGTAATGCATGATTTTACAGAGGGAGTCTTGCCCCTGGAAATGCACCTTGTTTTGAGTAAACTTGTTCAGAAGGGTTTCATAACACTGGATGAGGTGAACAGTAGAATATCCTCATTCAATTTTGGCTTTGTGGACCGCAAAAACAGACCAAGCCCAATCAGGCAGGCATCACTGAAGAATCCATATTCTGCCAGTGGACAGACATCAGCACAGATGACGTGCCTTGCATACAACATCCCTCTCATGTTAGGAGACAAGATTGATGAGATGTGTGATGAGTGGGAACTCTTACTGTCAATCATTGACATCTTCAAAATCATTATGAGTCCCAGTATCAGTAAGTCTGCCATCTATGTCCTGAAGGCAATGATTGATGATCACCACAGGCTCTTCATGCAGCTCTTCCCTGAAGCTAGTCTAACTCCGAAGCAGCACTTTCTTGTGCATTACCCACGTGCACTGAAACACCTTGGGCCACTGACCCAGTATTCAGCATTGCGTTTTGAAGCAATGCACAGACCTTTCAAGCAGATTGCCAGTGTATCTTGCAACTACCAAAACATTGTCAAAACATTGGCTAACAGATACCAAATGGCACGGTGCTACAGGTCAGTATCAAATCAGTCACTGGATAGCCAAGATATCAATGTGTCACAGCAAGCTGCAGCAATGCTTGGTGATCTACTTGATGATGAGGCACTTTGCAAAAAAATTAACTGTGGAAGGGGAACCGAAGTTACAGTTGCTGGGAAAGTGGACATTCATGGATATGAGTTCCGGGCAGGTGTTGATGTACTTCTATATTGGACTGATGATGATGGACCCACGTTTGGACGTGTTCAGCATATTGTAGTGGTGCAAGAAAAGTTGTATCTGCTCCTTCGGCTGTATCAGACCTTGTACTTCAACAGACATGTTGAAGCATTTGCAGTACAGGTGGGCAGAGAGGAATCACAAGCTGCTGTTGAATGGTGTGACCTGTTTGATCACAGGCCAGTCAATGCTGTCCAGTCCTATAGTGGAAGAGGGCGCTGCTTGTATATTGTGGTGCACCATTCATTCATCTAGGAACAAGAAGGTACGTGTAGGCAACCCGTTGCAAGCAAGTGATATATTTTTACAACTAGACATTACAGGTGCACTTGCAAATTTTGTCTTAGAGAACAGAACCAAAACAAAGCAAAAGAAAGAAACTGTTATTCCAATTACAATTATATCTATGAATCAGTTCTTAGTGTATCATTCTACACATTTTGATTGAAAAAATAGCTAAGAAGCTAACCTTGATCGATCTGTACTGACTTGCTAACAAATTTGATTATTCCAATGACAATTTTTACAGTAAATATCTGGTTTGAATTTTTTAACTCGTTATTAACTTCATTGTTTCTGTATCTGAAAATGTGTCTGTTATATTTGCATTCATTCATATTATGTTGTAATTTCTTAAATGTACCATGACTCATGCCAAGTTTTTCTAGCATATGTACTTCATTGAGGCCCCGGAAATGTGCTATTTTTTACCAATGCATGTTCCTGCCTAAAGTGAAAGTTCCTAACTGGATATTATTATATTATAGATGTACTGAAGAAGCTTCGGCTCATGAGTGACCACTTTTCAATTATGGGTTTGCTTTAAATAGGACAAGGGTACAGAAACAGTGAGAATGATTTTCCCCTTCAAGGAATAAACTTGATACTAAAGTCTAACCTGGGGCTGTTTGTGTCATTAATAATGTAAAGAATAATCAGTCATTTACATGTACATTGAAAGTTCAATTATTTTTCATTTATTTATTGTAGTATCATGCTGCAAATCAACAAAGCATGGAACAAGCATCAACGTCGACAAGAAGCCCATCAGTGTTCTCCTTAGATGACTGCTCAGATCTCTCTTGTGTAACAGGAAGTGAGTGGAGTCCCAGACAAAGCCCTTCCCAGCCCAGTTTGGATACGCCACTTTACGACTCCCCAGAATCCAAGAGTCCTGATCAACATCCTCCCCTGAAACGGGTCAAGAAAGTGCATTTCGTAAGTTTATGTATATAGTGGGCTGATACAATTGAAGCGTGGGCATGTCGAGTCACCATCATTCATCAGTTTTTATGCCTCCAACACATAAGGGTGCCAGAGGCATTATGTCTTGGAGTTATCTGTCTGTCAGTATTTCTGACAAGCAGCAGGGCTCAAAGGTGAAAGGTCAGTTCAAAGGTTATTCAAGTTTTTACTAAAAATACCATTTTATTTCTACATCTGCAGAATGGCTAGTGATATGATTTGGTAGGTACATTTTGGTATGAATGAATAAAGGAATGTTATGGAAAATGTTTGGTTGGGGTTATGGGTTTTAAGCTAGTCTAAGGTCAGTTTCAAGGTTTCATTGAAATTTTTTATCAGAACAAAGTTTGCAAGGAATGCCCAGTGAGTGATTTATGATGGGCTTATTGTAGGAGGTCGGACAGCCAGAGATATACCCACCGACTGCATGCTGTCACATTTCACTTGTTTATTCTGAATTTACTGATCTTTAAACAAAAAATCCTTTATCTGTTGCAGAACATTGCTTGTATATTGAGAGAGACCACCATGGGAAGAGCAGCATTAAGGAACATCAATGCTACAAATCTCTGCAGCAAAAGGGACCGGCATACTGTTGTGGATATGTTGACTCAGTACCTGATACGGGAGTATGGTACCAAGCCAAGCTCATTTGTGAAGGCATCAATGGCCCATGCCATTGTGACAAGCTTTCCTTTCTTAAAAGATCCAGAATCTCCACTTGGCTATGTAAGTCCTGTCCATGAATTGCTTTCCTTAATGTGACCTCAGGTATGGCTCAGATCACCACTTTTTTCTGGACTGATTTATGGATTGATTCTTACCACAGCGGGCATTTATTACTTGGAGGTGCCTTAATTCTTAGGTTGTCCATCCATACCTCCATCTGTCCCTACCCCACAGACCCCATTTACAAGAAAGTGAAATTTTATGAGAAGTTTCTGTTTGAGCCAGAAGCAATAAGCTACTTTAAGGTCTAAATCAAATAAATTATGTGTTTATGCAATAACTTTTGGAATACTGGATCATATTATTTTGTGTAACTTGCTATGAAGCTTCCTCAATTTTGTTATTCTTGTATTTATTATATTGGAGATGCTCAATCAATTGCATGTTCAATGTTGTATCACATTATCACAAGCATTGTAAGAGCATCTCTGGCAATAGTAAATTTGACAGTAGACAGGCCTGAAAAGCTTACAAATAATGAAAAGCTAATATGGCATCAATCACTAAATCGTGCAATATTTTTGTTTATTTTTACCACTTGTTTATAAGTTATATTATCCAGTAATGACACATCTCTTAATATTTAGACTTTTGTCTGCATGCCATTGAGTAATGGATATTCACAGAATTATCCATCATTCACTTTGTTTTTGCAATGACTTGATGACATTGCTGGAATATAACAGTGTGCAGTTAGAAATAGGTACTTAAGAGGACAAACCTTGTTATTGCAAACACTGACATATGTAACAAAATATGTAAATGTACAGTTTACACTGGAATTTTATTGTGCTTTTATTTGATTATTATTAATGTTTAACAAATGTTGTTGAGCATTACTGTTTTTGAAGTTGAATTATGAAGGAATTTTAATTTATTTGAGCAGGAGGCCTGGTACTGCGTGGGGGCCAAGGGACGGCCAGCAACAGGCTACCTGGAGGAGCATCTGAGGTATGTCAGAAAAAAGGAGAAGTCCCTGAGGGTACCAGTAGCTGAAGACGAGGCAGAGTCTCAAAAGCAAGGTATTCTGGCTACTTTTTCATATAGTTAAAGTTTTGAGTTATTCAGATCCGTCTGATGAAGTCATGCTGTGCCATAACAAACTGGTGGGGCATGAGCAATGCCAACTAAAACCCCCCTTCCAATACAATCATCAAAAACTTGTTGATACATGCTAATTGTTGATTGTTCTGTTGCATTATATCCAGGAGATACCGATCTTGAGTCTGTGAACGATGATAACATCACGACAATGGAAGAATGGCTGCGTAACAACAAGGAGCCAGAGGACATGGTGAAGGACTACATGAAACAAACAGCAACAAAAAGACATGACTGGATCAAGAGAAGTGACTGTTGTGTGAAGAACATTCTTACCACATATCCCAGACTTCTCGATGCTGGAATGGTATGTGGACCTTGATTTTTCTTCTGCATGTGACAAGAAAGGACATTAAATTAAACTAGAGTCGCATGTTTTGAGAAGTAACTTTTTTGTTTTTTGGTTGCATGGGCAGGTTTACTTTAGCAGTCTCCTTAAAGGGATCGTTTAACAATCTGAGATACACGGTCCTACAGAAATCGTGCATCCCTATTGAACCGATAATTGTTAGTGTGTACCATTCAAATCCTTGCAAAATGGTAAAGAGAAGATGCAAATGAAAGATATCCTACCTTTCATCTGGCTTCTATAACTATCCTAACAATTACAGATTGAAGGAGATTTTGCAGAATTGTTCCCAGAGAAAGCAAACGCACTGTACCAGAAGTGGCCCACATTCTGTAACAAAGTAGTGGACTTCACCGAGAAAACTGGCAACTGGAGAAGTGCAAGAGCCGAATTCGAAAACATTCATGACCCTGGGAAACTCAGTCTTGGTATGTGGTGTCAGAACACACATTTGACAGTATTAGTGAAAATGACTTGAGAGAAAGTCAAAAGAATTTATTTCAATTACACTATATGATGTTTATTTTTGTGGCCAGGACCAAACATTGAGTCTAATATCCCCCCTGTAAGGAATTGAACTGAAATAAATAAAAGTGCTCTGAAACATATAATACATGTACAACATATGATAAAAACATGATTCCATGACAAAGGTTTAGCATACTTTTACTTGCTTGTTTTGTTTGTTTGCTTTTTGGGGTGGGGATGGTGGTTTAAAGCTCATTGGGAAGGCTATGCTGAAGTTTGTGCAATTTTGATTTTCTTTACTCAGAAAGCTGAGCTCCAAATTACTGACTGACATTTACGTTGAGTGATTTTACCCATATTTGTAGAAAATAATTGTTGTATTCGACCGTTATTTTTAATTTGCTGTATATAACTGTACATTTTGTAAGATGTTCCATAATTGACCTGTTTGCTGTTGCACCTTTTCTTCATATGTAATTGGGACTTAATTACTTAACTCTTTCATTGTTTCCCTCTTTTTAGAGGAAAAGAGCAATCTTGGATTCTACATGCTCCCAGTCTTGTTCCGAGGAAGGAAAGATTCCAAGAGAGGAACGTACACCACTGCAGAAACATTGTCGTCCTTCATTGACGTTCAACCAGTAAGTATATGTGCTGGGGAGGTGGTAAAGTAATGACATGTAAGGCATATATTTTGGTTTGCGTTTAAAATCTTGCCATAGTAATCATATTTCATTACAAACAAATTCAATAGTTAATTTGTTAAGAGTTTCAAACCTAGGACAACTGATGAAATTGAGGTTGAAATGCAATACCTATGTTCTTACCAGATAAGGCATTGCCATAACATTTTATTTGTGTAAAACTTGAAAAGCAACCATTTTCAAGTTCCTAGTAATGGGCACGCTGGTCCCCAAGGAGGCCCTGCAGGGGCAACACTAGGCGCTTTAATCTTAATAAGTCAGTTTGTCATTATCTGTGGTACAACTACAAATGGCCTCAGATTTGTCATCACATCGCATTTCACTCATGAATGCAAGCAAGTCCTTTAACCTGCAAATGACATGTGAAAAATGCATGCTTATATTAACAGGCTGTATATGCCTTCCAGCTTAGTTGATGTAATGCTCTGAACGTGACCAGTTTGGGTACAGTTGACCTTTGCCGCAGGGATATTTAAGAATACCCAGTAATGTTTTGATGGGACAGGGATGAACATGCATAAACAAATTTGGGTGTCCTGTAGGTGATTGTGGATTCATAAGCAGAAGCATTCGACAAGCATCAAATATATATATATCAATCCATATAATTACAAATGATTTCTTCTTGATTTCTCTTTGGACTACAGGAGGTTCTCGACATCCAGACTTATGTTGATAACATTGATGAAGCAGTCAGGTCACAGCCATTTGTTGTTGTGCGTGGGAACATTCTCACACCAATACAGGCGTACGTCGTAGTAGAGAGGAGGATACTTCCTGCCGCAACACTGCTTAAAGCAGTCGACTTGTGCTTTAAGGCACTTTATGTGATGGATATCGAATATCAGCCGCAAAGCTGTTCTGTTTGGAAATTTCTCCAGATTGTGGTGTTCCAGTTTACCGATGGGGAGCATCTTACACCAAAGCTGCGGGAGGTCCGAGCCTTCATGAACATGCCATAAGCCATCATGATGTGTTCACGCCAAGGATGATTACTGGTGATATATTTCCTACAGATGAAACTGACACATCATCGTTTAGCACATTTTGGCTACTTGAACCAGTTTATTTTGGGAGAAAAAAAACTGGAAAAAAGTATTATTTTGGACAAAATAACCTTAAAGACAAACTGTTATGAGTTGGATTCAGCACATTATTTTACATAATTTAGACATGTTTGTGTAAGACTGAAGATTTGAGGGTGGGGTGAGGATCGCTGAATAATATTAAAAAAAAGAGTGAATTTATACACAGCAGAAGTCTTTGTGTACATTTTAAAAATGATAAAGGCCTAATTGTTTTATCCCAATCATTGCTTAACATCCCCACCTTGAAAGTTTAAGAAAACAAATGAATATATGCCAAGTATAAATACAAAACATATTATTGGCTATAAATCTTTTGCACTGGCGTATACAAATGCTTATCGTGTTTGGTCTTAATCCCAAGAGTACTGTTTCATAACTCGTACATCAAAATGATATATTTCTTCATAAAACATGAGCTATGATATTTTCTGCGTTTAAAAAAGCAAGTGGGGTATATGATTGTAAATTACATATACCATTAATTTTCATGTAATGTGTATCGTCCATTGACCCTACGCTGAACTCTCTGCTGAATGGACTGCATGCATTAATTTACATCGCGCAAAGCAGAAGTAGAGAAGTCAACATTTTTATCTACATTTTGCAAAATTGTATTGATATTATTGATAATATCAATAAAATCAATCAAACTGAGTATAGCAGGTAGGGTCAATTGATTTTTGTTGTCTTTAATCTAATCAAAAAGTTATAGTAGGCAGTGTGTATCCTTGTTATTTGATCAGTACCTGTTCACCATCACAGATAGCCAAACTTTCATGTGGTACTTCTGCACATGTCAAATAATCTAGAGGGATTTGAATTTATTTCCTCTTTTTTTTTACTTCAAAAAAATGTGTTCATGTGTAACACTCTAAGGCAGAGTATTGGTGTGTCAGGATAAATGAACACTATGCCACACCCACAAAATATATATGATGCACATATTCATGTATGAAATCAGAGTACATGGAATACATACAGTGTACATCAAAGTTGTCATGCTGCACCAAACAGGGGCTATATTTGCATTTACTTTTTTTAAAAGGTTGTATTTTTTTCACCAAAAATTGTAATGTTGTAGTTGATGTTAACAAGTTTTGTTTTTACGTTTCTGATGAAAACAACAACATGTGTTTACTGTGTATGTTATTTGTGTTTCAGTTAAGCAATTATTACCCTTTAGATGAGAAAAAGAGTTGAGCCAATAGATGTTATGGAAAAAATGTTGAGCAATGATTATCCAACAGACGAATTAAAGAGTTGGGCAAATGGATATTGTGGAGAAATAGTTGAGCAATTATTACCCAATAGATGGTTGTTTTGATAGTTGGGCAAATGGATATTGTGGAGAAATAGTTGAGCAATTATTACCCAATAGATGGGTGTTTTGATAGTTGGGCAAATGGATATTGTGGAGAAATAGTTGAGCAATTATTACCCAATAGATGGGTGTTTTGAGAGTTGGGCAAATGGATATTGTGGAGAAATAGTTGAGCAATTATTACCCAATAGATGGGTGTTTTGAGAGTTGGGCAAATGGATATTGCGGAGAAATTGTTGAGCAATTATTACCCAATAGATGGGTGTTTTGAGAGTTGGGCAAATGGATATTGCGGAGAAATTGTTGAGCAATTATTACCCAATAGATGGGTGTTTTGAGAGTTGGGCAACTGGATATTGCGAAGAAATTGTTGAGCAATTATTACCCAATAGATGGGTGTTTTGGGAGTTGGGCAAATGGATATTGTGGAGAAATAGTTGAGCAATTATTACCCAATAGATGGGTGTTTTGATAGTTGGGCAAATGGATATTGTGGAGAAATAGTTGAGCAATTATTACCCAATAGATGGGTGTTTTGATAGTTGGGCAAATGGATATTGTGGAGAAATTGTTGAGCAATTATTACTCAATAGATGGGTGTTTTGAGAGTTGGGCAAATGGATGTTGCAGAGAAATTGTTGAGCAATTATTACCCAATAGATGGGTGTTTTGATAGTTGGGCAGACTGGGAGTTGGGTAAAAACTGGTTGGGCATTTAATTAACCAACATTAAACTTACTCAAAAGTTGGGCAAATAGAAGGTTGGGCAATATCTAACTGGGTAAAATTGGTTGGGCAAGAAATTACCCAACTGAAAATATAACCAACTGTTAGGCAATTGTAGAGTTGGGTAAAATATGATGGGTCACCAACTGATGGGCAATTCAATTTGCCCAACCACATAGCAAACTGATTACCCAACATCAGTTGGGCAGATTTTAACCAATAGTTGTGTGGACCGTATGTTGCTCAGTGTTGGTTAAAAGTTGGGCATTTTTTTGCCCAACTATTTTAAGTGTGTAGATAGATAGAAAGATAGATAGATAGATGAATATTTTATTGAAAAACACAATTTGAATAAAAACATGCATTACGTCAATGCCGAATTGAGATGAATCTACAATGATAGAGTGCACTCAAAGAAGGTAATCAGCATTGGCTACGAACTAAAAATTCAACGATTAACATAATTATTGTACCACATTTGTTTTGTATATATAATCTAAAGTGGCATGTGATTCGATATTCTACATGACAATGCAAGACCTAAAAATAAGGAAGTCTAAAAGCATTAGTTGATATCTTTCTTCATAGAATTTTGATTGTTTTTAATGAGTCAGTTCCATATAATTTTACATGGCAATATTACAAAAATATAGCATCTAAAAATCAATAGCAATAATTGATGTATTCATATGAGAGAAAATGAAAGTGATCGATTTTGATGAGTCCGTCCCATATATGTCATGACAATGTTTAGAAAAATATCAAAATCTAAAACCAATGGTTGATATCTTTCTTCATTGATATGTAATTGGAATTGTAATTGTTTTTAATAAGTCCGTCGTATATACAGAGCTGAAAGAATATGATGGATCTATTATTATGTTCTAGACAAGATTCACTTGAATGCGCTGTGTTTCACTTTGCATTGGATGATTATCTTTGTACTTGAAAACATTTTGTTTAAATAAATTCACTCAGTGTCATCCCATTGATGCCAAACAATGTTGTTTTAACTGCATTTCAAAGGGCCAGGCCATAGGTACTTGGCTTGGACCCCTCACTGTTCTAGCGTGAATCGTTTCACGAACCCGTCAAATAAGTACAATTTCCAATGTGTTTTAATCTGTTTCAATAGGATGTCGACGAACCCGTCATCATAATACTTGTGACGATTTAAATTTAACACATACATATATTTCGATGGGATGTCGGTGAACTTGTACTTATGATGTTTTCGGGTAACGCCGCCCGTGTCTTATGTTGTAAGTGAAAGAATTAAGTTTCCGTGAATTAAGCTCCCGCCCCTTCCACCCCCCCCCCCCCCAACAAAAAATAACAATAGATCTAACAATACAAACAGAAATAGATTAATGATAATAATACAAATGAATTTTTAACAAATATATTAAATAGGCTTAAATAACTTTCAAAAAAATTGAAAGGAGGTTATGATGAGATTTCCCTTTGGAGAGTAATAAGAAGAATGATCCCAGTGTGAAACATTTATCTCAAAGGATAAGTTATTGTAGATAATGATATCGGCCACTTAAGCTGCGTTTTATTACCGAATTTGTTTTATACAAAATGCATTTCGAAAAAGGTCATAAAGGACCGTTTTGGGATAAAAGTTATACATGTAATATACTAAAGTAATCAGCATACTATACACGTACCTGTCTTAGGCCCTCAATTTCTCATCATCATAATGGTACTTTAAAAAAATTAGACCTCATCGTTAGGCCTCTAGTATTATAATAGGCATTGAGGCAGGTTTCCATGATGAGTGAGTGTTGATATGATAATAATGATGAGTTCCTCCAAAGCGTAAATTTCATACCATTATAAGCCTAGACCATGTGCCTTAAAACTTACAATTCATAATCAATAGAAAACGCTTATCAAAAAGATAAGTTTTTAGTACTCTCTTAAAAAATCTACGTCTATCATGGAACGTATAGCGATAATGGGAGAGGCGTCCCGAAGTTTTGGACCTCCACATAATACACGCCAGTTCAAGAACTTTGAAAGGAAAATCCACCCTTATATGAAGTTGGTTTTGATAGAAGTAGAAAAATGAGAAGAACAGGTCGGTGAAAGTTGAGCAAATTCCGATTAGAAATATGAAAGTTATGAATTTTTGAAGTTGCGATCAAACAAACACAATTTGCAATTCTGTGACGAATCTAGCAATGACCTATATATTGCTCTGCTCCATGCAAACTGTTAGTAAACTAATCTGTTCTTTCCATTGAAACCTTCCAATTTCAGAACTGCCTTCATTTTACGTTTAAATCACCCGTCATACGCAACTATAAGATATAAACCGAAATTTATTTAACATTTCCAAGGTGCATTGATGCGGTTGTTAATCATAACAGTTTGTTGTTGTTGTCTTAGAAGTTGTTCGAATTGGGTAAACATTGCACAAGTCATGGTAAATGATATTTCTTTATTAGCCTTTCTATGTATATCCAACACCATGCAGTTGACTTTGATGTTATTAGATTCAATCGAAATTAAAGCGGAGAAAATTATTAACCAGTATTAAGAGGAGTAACGGAGTTGTTAAGTGGTGGTGGTGGTTATAAATGCTTCTTAGTAAGCAACCAGAAGACCGACGGCTTTAGGTCCTCTCCGAGGGACCTGGTAATGAGGATTAATGCCTTACCAAAGGGCACTAGCACACCCATATTGCTCCATTTGTCTCATTTTCGCTCGCTGGACAATTGCCAGTACAAACGTAGGTAGTTCGCCGTTACTACCAAACTAGATTGTTCCACTATGTTACAGGGTGTATATGCGATTGGGTATTATATGTGAACCGGGTGTGAGGAAATGGTGTGTTAGGGAGAGGAAGTGAGAGTGTTCATGTGCGTGATAATTGTATGTGTGTCAACAATTAAAGACTAATAAATGACAGATGGCTAATCATAAATCTACAATGACGAGTAAACTGTGTAGATCACATTCCACAGATAAATGTGCCTTGAACGTATATAGCAGACGGCAATCGGCGAATCAGACGACACTTGATAGTGATTTTGTATGTGCGATTGTTTTGCTGAATATAAAACACGAGAACCTTTTCCATATCTTTAAACTATCATTGATATCTGATAATTAAACAGTTAGTAAAATAAACCTACCAAACTACATAATAAAATGAAATACTTGACTGAAAATAGGGGAGTTTGATGAACTGATCTATGATAATTCATGCTTGTTATCCTTCGTGTGCTTGACCTATAACCTTACAATCGAGTGGCAAATTGCGTCCAAAGTTCGACTTGTTGCACATTATAGGCAATGGCGAGCTTGCGACCTATTTTGATCAAATTACGGTGGGTGAACTTTCAAAAGTCAATGGGACATGAGGGTTCCAATGAAAGAGCTAGTGTCAACGTACGTCGGGGTGGATGTGCTTTGGTTTAAACGAATAAATTCGTCCCTGTTTTCACGAAGTGCCGGTAGTGAGGATAATCGTAACACAAAGTGAATGCAATTTTTTTTCACTACCGTCACTTCGTGAAAACAGCGACGAATTTTTAGCGATTTCTTTTTGGGTAAATGTCCAAAGGCTAACATGTTAGGCTGCTGGAATCTGACGATAGGGGGCGTTGTCCAATAAGACTAAACGAAGCTATATGGACTTGGTTTCGAACCCGGGTCACCGGATTACGAGATCACTGCTCCTAGTTTAGTAGTTCATAGTAGAAAAATGCTAATTGATGGTGACACCTCTTCCCGATGCAGGGTTGTATATAACTCTGTTTATAATGTATATTTTTTAATACCTTTCTTCCATTTAGAAATTCTCTCCATAATATCATCCTCTTACAATCTGTCGCTCTTGATTTATTCCATTCAAATCCACATACTTTTTATTACTCTATATCTTTAAAAAAAAAAAAGTTCCCTACCCTTATTATCTTCTCACATTCTCTCACTTGTTTTCCCTCTCTTTCAATTGATCTTTGCTCCCTTTATCACCTCCTCATATTCTCGCAATTTTATTTGAGTCTTCCTTTCAAATTATATCACTCTATCATACATTTCTTTCATGACAAATTTCTCTCACTTTAAATCAATATCTTTTTATATTCTCTCACTCTTTATCTCTTCCTTTCGAATTATCTCACTAGATTATAGATCTCTTTCATTCTCTCAATTCCTCTTCTCCACATGTTGTTATGTGCTGTGTACCTCTCTTCTTCTCACTCAAACAA